TTTTTGAAAATAAAGAATAATTTAAGTTTGTGTATAGAAAACCAATTAAGACATTCAGAAACTTATCAGTAAAGACCGGATTTATATGCATTTTAAATTGTAAAATATGCATGCAAACATGCACTAAAAAAAGTCAAAATATGCAAGGAAAAAATGCAAAACATGCAAAATAAAATTTCAATTTTATATTAGATTTTAATTTTGCAGTGATAATTATTTATTAATTTTATTACATTTTTCATAAACAAAAAGTTACATGTATAATATAGTACAAAAATTTAATTTTTTGTTAAATTGTAATTTAATTTTTAAACATTGATATATTGTAAAAAATATTTTATTAAAATTAAATAGTAGATACATTGGTGATATACTGATATAAATAGGAAAAAAGTACGAACAATTTTATTGAAGGTAGTAAATTATTAATTTGAAAAACAATAAGTTATCAAAGTATGTTCCATGTTTATTTCCGTGAAATTATGACGGCGATCTGTAAGAATGTACTTGTATGATGAAAAACTACGTTCGACATCAACACTGGTGATTGGAGCATATTTAAAATTTGCTATTATATCCAGCGAATAATTTGGAACAGATAAATCGTCGAAATTAGCACTGTCACCTTGAAGTATTTTTGAAATTTCTTTTAAAACCATTAATCCTTTATTTTTATTCAAAACGTTTTTACATTTTGTTTTAATTATTGTACTATTGGCACTAGTAGGAAGTTCATTAACAGAGTTTTCCACTTGTTCTAAAATTTTTATTGAGTCTACAAGGGACAAATTAGAGGTTTCAAGCTTTTTGATACTTTCAACGATACATAAAAAATTTGCTTTAATGTAAGCAAGATCATATTTTACATTAAATTTATTAAAAATTGATTTACAATTTTGAATGCATTTTGTATTATCTTCTAAGTTTTCAATCACATTTTTGAACTCTTCAAAATGATCTGCGTAAAAAAAGGCTGACTCTAGCCAAGTACCCCAACGGATAATTATTGGCTGCGGTGGTAAATGTGTAATTGGCAACATTTCTTTATATAATTGAATTTTATACGGAGCCTTTGAGATATTCTTTGAGACGTAAAATATTTGATATTATAATATTATATAAACGTACCTATAATCTATGTTTTTATTTGTATATTTGTACGGTTTTTGTTAAAATATGCAAAAATATGCAGATCATGCATTAACGTCAGAATCTGCAAAAATATGCAGTATAAAATTTTGATATTTAATCAATCAAGTAATGATTTGTGGACACTCATTGACTGCATGTATATGATGTTGAAAATAACAACATGCATTTTATGCAAAATCCGGTCTTTACTTATCAGCATTATTAGATAATATTTAAATAAATTATACACATTAATATTTTCAAAAAAATACTCTGTTCGATAAAGAATACGTCAAATCGAAAATAAAATAAATAATAATTTTTTTTATGAACATCTAAATATTATTGTTATGAATCGAATCATGCATTTATTTGATATGATTTAGGCAACTACACTCAAACTTAGTAGGTACCTATTAATGTACAAATAATGTTGTATATACTCAAAAAAATAATAATATTATAATATTTCATCAGAAAAAATCGTACCTACCTATACATGATATAAATAATAATACGCACTGCATATTCTACTATTATTATTAAATATTAAACGCATACAATTATGAAAAAAATTATTGAACGTTTAAAAAAATAAATACGCAAGTGTATTTAGTATTTTAATGTGTCATAAATAGTAATTACACGCTGTATAATTTTCGACTTAATAGTTAAATGAATATATTACGCACGCATATTATACAATTTTTTATCGTTCTCCAACTTTACTTATACCTATACCTTATACTTATACTATAACTTTACTGTACACTGACTTTATATAGTTACTATAGTCTATAAAGTAAGGTATGGTGCATCAAAAACATAAATAATATACATACAAATTTCAGAGGTTGAACTGCCGTATTCGATGTAGGTATATATACACGTCATAACACGAAATGTTCGTACATTAGGAATATTAAAGTGCGTTTTCGAACGGAAACGTTTTAGTGAAATCGTCGAAATTACATTTCTGTGCAAAATGATAAACAGAAAAACTACTCGTTTAAAAAAAAAAAATATATAATAATATATAACGGCTATAGTTACCTATACTCTTACACGTTTTAAGTATATACATGCATAGATACATCAGGTTTATGTACAATGCAAATACTGAAAAATATATTATATACTTATACATAGTATAATATTTGGCTGCAACAGCGGACAATACAATTGAATACGAACGTTGCTCGGAAAATAAGACACATATTAAACGATTCACCAAGCATACTCTTTGCTCATTTGTTTGTGTCATTTAATTATTTAAATTTTTTCTAATTCCAATATTTGATAGTTTCATGCACAATATATCCATACATTTTAAGGATCATATTAAAAATATAAATATTTTTTATATTATTTTATATTTATGCCTTGGAGAATGTTCTGTGCAAGCATAATACAAATTTTTCCAAGAACTTCTTTTTTTACTATAAATTATTATTAAACAAATAATTTTTTTGAAAATATTGATATACTTATTACTTACGTATCTAAATCAAAATTAAAATAATCAGCTTCTGAGTTATTAAACTTCATATACTTATAAGGATAAAAGGTTAAAGATAATAGCTATATAATTTGTATAAAGTTATATATGTCAAGTATAAAACAAATCGATATAATGGCTTAGATTATTTGATAAATTTGCATATTACAAATTGTTTATAGTATCTAATAAATCTTCATTTAATTTATTGAAACGATTTATATATTTTTTGTATTATATTATATTATATTTATAATAATAAATTAGGTATGTATTATATTATTTTTTAATTATTGCTTATCATTAGTTAAAACATAGACATAGACCATGGTTCCACGAAAATGGACAGACAAAAGAAAAAGGACTCATGTTTTATATGTAATAATATATATTATTACACAATATCTAGTATACGATCGATTATCGCAGTTTTATGACAAAGCTCATTCAATGTCGGTGTGTGTGCAAAGCGCTATTTGTTCTAATTAACGGATTTGACCGTTGGAAAAATATATACTTTATTGCTACACACGTTTCCTTCCACCACGAATATACTTTTGGATTTAATAAGCCGTTGTCAGGCGAAAAAAGCATTAACAATTAATGAAAGTGCTAATTCTGAAACGTATAATAACAGTAATAAATATAACAATAAAAATTTCATTAAAAAAAAAAATAAATTCGAAACTATCCATTTTAATTACAAAGAAATATTATTGCGTATTCTTATTGTGACGTGCAACATGGGATTGTTCACATATTTTGTTCATAATATATTTGTTTTCTCGTCAAGACATTTTATATCTATGTATAACTTCATACATTATTATATTATTATTTATGTTTACTTATTATTTACCTTGTCTATAATATATATCCAATATCTTTTGTCTTAATTTTTTGTTTTATCATATTCAAAAAACAATTTCATATAGAATGTTTTTGTCGAAAAAATGAAGTATAAATTCGCATGATTGTTTTTCTGTGATTAGTGAGTAGGTATAACGCATAGCTATAAATAAAAGTTAATGAAAAAAAGCATCATAGGCAAAGTATTTGTTGCAATAGTAATTATAGTAGTTACTAGTTCATAATATATAGTACATAATAATTATATATATATATATATACACTAGGTGGTCAAATGTTATCGTCGTGATTTCACATTATTCTTAGCGTAAAATTATATTATAAATGTCTGTAATTGAATGCTGTTATTAATTATTCATTTAATTTGTATTTTTACTTTTATTAATTATTATATTTATCGTTTTCTTTGAACATAATAACATCACATTAAAGTATTATATATACATAATATATATATATGTGTGTGTGTGTGTGTGTGTGTGTGTGTGTGCGCGTGTATTTCAAATAATATTTTATCTAAAACTACTTAGAATCATACTTGATTAATATAATAGCCTTGATCTGGGTACCCAAATAAAATAATACTACACATCATATCGTTATACTCGTTTTAGTTTCATATAAGTGCGTTGAAACTTAGAATACAGTCGTACAGTTCACGAACTATAGCAATATTATTGCATTAATAATATTGAAAATCAATAGAAAGACATAGTTATCATTGCTGCATTTCCTATTAATTATACGAGTATATACACTCATCGTAGAGTTCTAGATAAAAATGCTTAATCAAGAAAAAAAAATAAATAGCTATTTCAATAGCTTAAACACAATATATACATTTATACGCATTATTATAAGAAATAAGAATGTATAATACACGTATTATGTGACTGTCATTTGAAAAAAATTATCAAACGGCAACCGTATTTTTGTATAATGTAATACGAAATATAAAACACATAAACACATTAGTCATTACAAACACCTGTATAGATAAACATATTCTGATGAACGTACAATCTGATAAGACGTACATTACCCATACACACAATACATATTATATTATTGTTATAAAACAAATGTTTCGAAATTTGCAACATTGAACGTGTTCACAACAAACCGCGTGTCGTACGATACGAAAACCATATAAAAGCGATACAGTAATTGGATATTATAATATTATTTATATTATTGTGTTTTTACACGAGAACCTATGTAATAATGTTACGTAGATACCTAATCGTACTAAGGTGATTTGTATTTTATTCATAATCAGAATGTGCGTTAATATAAATTAGGTCGACATGATATTGTTTAGACGGTATTGGTATACAATATGTAATCGATAATTAAAATAAGAACAAAATTTCATGAAACTCTTTTTGCTCTATCTATCATTCTGTATATTTTACTTGTATATTTTAATTTGTAGTACTGTATGTATAAGTACGCATAATTTTAATTGTTTAAAAAGAATTAAATCGCATGGCGCAAACCATTTTTGACACAAAAAAATATTTTATTTACACAAGAACATGCTTATAATGGCACACAGATTATAAACAGTCTGACAGCGTATATACTTATGCATCATCTACGGATTACTATACTACATGATAACAAATTATAATATTATGTATTTATGTGTACTTTAATTATTTTTGACCGTTTGTCATCATGCATTATTGCAGCTAATTCGAAACTACAATATAAATAATCAACGATAATAATAGTATAAATAATATGTTCAACACAAACAATAACTTAAGTGTATAATGTACACTTAACAATGTATTGGAAATAATTGTTTCCCATAATGTGCGCTTAAACATCTGAACTAGAATTTGTCGGTACATCGTAGGATGCGGTGTAGTTGATAAGTTCTTTATTAGTAAACTGATGAATTGTTTTATTCGCTTTTATCGTGATGCCGTTTTTAGAATTTTCGAAATACGTTTTAACGAAAAAACGGCTGTGTTCGCCAACATCTGGACTCGTTATAAAGTCTTCGCACTAAAGAAAAAGGACAAAAAATAAATAAAATAAGAAAACAATAATAACACGGAGTCACGGAGATATCTACTGTTTACGAAACATGACAAGAATATGTAATTTATATTATTGGATTTTTAGGTGTGACTTTTGTACGATGAATTTATTAGTCAATGTCAGTAGAATATACGCCTATATATTATAATCATCCAGTCTTTATTTTATTTTTCTCCTTGATATAAATAACAAATTTAATTTAATTGGTTGATAATAATTTAATATAAGCATATGAATTATTCAAAATTACAATGATCATCGTTTATATTCATTTTATATTATGAACTGTTAATTTGTACAAATACCTAATAATATAAATAACATAAATCACAGTAAAAATATTACCTAGATAAAGGAGTATAATCTTTATAATTTAAATTTTGAATAACTCAAATAGTATTAAGTAAATACTTCATTTAATTTCACTGCTTAAAATTGTACTTTTATTTTTATTAAATTACTGTTTAAAAACAGCTTACGCATTATATAGTTGATATTATTAAATTCTGATAAATGTATACACGAAAATTAATTAATTTAACATAATTAATTAAATAGAATTTAACCAACGAATAGTTTTTTTTTTTTTTATTATTATTTAAATATACGAAATAGATTTTAAATAGATTTCAAAATATTATGATATAAATCTATAATAGATGTGGTATTATTTAAATTTGAAAGCATATTATTTTCAATCTTAATATACACATACAGTTTTAATAAAACTATCAAAAATGAACGTAATAGACTAGCTGCAATATATTTTGAACAGATTAAATTTAAAAATTCAGTTTAAAGCGGAAGGACGAAACTATCATAAATTGTCTTCAATAAAAGGTAAACATTCACAACAAACAATCTTATAGCTAAAAATGATCTATATTATTATCTGTATTATGTGAATCATAGTAAGTGGATAAGCATAATGTTTTAATTTATTGCAAAATATATAAGAATAGGTATGGGAATCAAACATTAAACAGTTGCAAGAAAAAATAAAAACAATAATATAACCAAACCTATTACTTTGTATCAAATATAACCATTATCACCTTTTTTTAAATAAGAAGTAAAATTATGCAACTTAGACATACGAGTAGATGATGATATTATTTAGATAAATGAAGAAATTAATTTGCATTGTTTGAATAAATAATGTTTTAATATATATTTTAATGAATATTATTTCAATAAATGTAGGTTGATGAAATTGTATGCTAATGCCGAGTACATTAATAATAGTATGTCTGTGTGATCTTTATTGAAATAATATGTGTAACTATAAGTTATATCATTTTTAAATATAGATAGCATTATTGATAGATAAACGAATATTTGTTTTTCATTTAAATAATATTAAACCAATATGAAGACTTAAGATTTATCTAAATCGAAATGTCAATTTGGATTTATACTTTATAAGTAATTAAAAAAAATCGATTAGATACCGCCATTTTAATTTAAAAGAACTGCGTTTGTATAAAAACAATTTAATAATATTTGTTTTTTTTTTTTAGTTTTGCAATAAAAGTTTTTACGTTCATTAAAATTGTATACCGGAATATTCTGAGTACCTATTTACTACCTGCTCTTAAAACTTCGTACATCTCTTGAAATATCGACTTTTGAAATAATACTTTTTTTTTTTAGTAATCAGCATAAAGGGATTATCCCCGTCGAAGCAATCTAAAGTTAGAGATAACGAGCCAATGGAAAGTGTTAATTTGATAGATTAACATCTGTGAGATTATAGGTGATTCAATTGTCGGAAGGGTCCAGGAAGGTTATTAAAAAGTGTCATAAATCTACTGCAAAGGAGTCATGAGCTTAATGACGTCATTTTTTTTTTTATTTGATTTTTTTAAGTATTCTCTTCGAAGGTAAAACAATTCTAAATTACCTTCATCCATTTAGCCTCTGATATCTCTTTATCAATCACAATGTCGAAAGTTAACGGTCGTAAGTTTGTAACGAAATACATATCAGCACAATTGAAACTCCCACTTAAAACGTGCCTGAACGCTACTAGCGATACGAATTCGGCTCTGATGCCCGTCTCTTCAAATACTTCTCTAATAGCAGCGTCGCCAATATTTTCTCCTTAAAAAATAAAAAATAAAATAGCATAATATGAAAAAGAAAAATAGATATTTTTACATGAGCTTGATTAATTATTTATACATCTTACGTACAGATGTGTATATTATATTGTATAAATACTATATATATTTCTATAATTATTATAATATATACTTTTACATAACATAGTAACAAATAGACGGACAATAATTATTATTATCCGCTGTAATATTATCAAACATTCAACATGTACGTTCGCGTGTTACTTTATCCTTATAATATAGTGTACGAAAATAGAAATGAGAATTATTAATATTATTGTATGCTAGGAATTATAACATGCGTGTAAATATGACGGGTTACTAGTATATTTAACAAAAAATAAAATATCGGGTTTCCGGTTATGTAAAATAATAATATATGAACACTGTACACTGATCATTAGTGGTAATATCACAGAATTTTATGGGAATATTAAAAAATAAAAATGATAACAACGGACTATAGTGATTATACCAAATATTTTTCGTTCCAATATTATATTAGAGCTATTAAATCGCCCTTTTGATGCACGAACTAAAGACCAAGGACACGAAAAATCATAAAAACAAATTTATTATATTTATGCTTTTTTAGAAACATCGTTGCTAAATTAGAACAAAAAGAAGTAAACCGTAGTTTGACGACAATTTTATGCTGTATATTATAATATTTTAATTGTGCGTAACGAGCTAAATAAATTTAAAGGTATTGAAATAGCTTCATACACAAAATTAACGACTATTATTTTAACAACCTGTCAAATAGGTACGAAATATTTTTTTACCCAAAATCAGTTTTATTTCACTTTAAGTTCTACTTTCACTGACTAATTTTTTATTTTTTTAGTCATATAATTACCATTTGTGTTTTTTTTAATTACACTAAGGATTACCTCATAAATATGTAAACGCGTAGGTATATATTATGTGAATACGAACCAACCGTCGGGATAATAAAACCTTATTAAAGTACAAAATGCTTACCAGAATTTACATAACCTCCAGGCAATTTCCAAAATGGAATGCTATGCTCTTTGACGACTAACAAATGATCGTTACGTATCACTAGACCTCCTGCGCCTGTATATGTATGAGGGGAGTCAACCGTAGATGTGCTTTCACCCCTTAAACGTTTGTACATCCACAGTTCGTTACCGTCCGGTGATGTTCTGTGAAACAGGAAATTGTTCTAGAACCAAACACAATATATTTTATTATGTACACGTGTGGTTGGAAATCCTAAAAGCCAAACGAGACGTTAATATGTTATGTAGGACTTAGAAATGTGTCAAAACACAAAGCCCAGCAAGTTTCAGAAGTATTACCTTTTCAATATAAAATGACATGTTGTATAGAATTTCAGTTAAATTGTTATTATTTTCTTTTTCATAAACATTCAGTGACGAGATATTTACGACAGAAAAAACATATATTGTCATTCATAGCATATTTTTGATGAAAAATGAATTTTGTAACATTTAGAATTTGATATTTGTATATGTTCAGTTTTGAAGTCAAGACTTTATTGTTTAATTTAATTTTTAAATTTAAATGAAAATTTGTTGTAAATAATTAAATCATAGGTAAATATTATGTTTGATATAATATATATCTATATTAAATAATATAATGATTTAATTCGAATGTACAATATTTAAAATTTTGATTTTTGAAGGATATTACTTTCATTTTTAGCAACAGATAAGTGAATTTTACATTAAAAATATTATATATTGTTTTATTTCATACAATTTTATAACTAAGCAATTAGTTATTATATAAAGTACTTTTATAGCTAACATTGAGATAATTAAAAGTATAAAAATCATCAATTTAATTTACCTAGGTAAAAAATATTACTTAATTATTTCGAAAAAACCTAAGTCTAATAACAATTTTTAAGTAATCAACGAAGAGAATAGTTTATTTCTTTTACAAAGCCAAAAGTTATAAAAGTAATTTTATCCTCAACTTTAAGTTTACCAAAGAAGTAAATTTTAATTCTACTCATACAGTATTCTCAAAAGTTGTGAAGCATTGTCTTTAACTAAAGTTTTTCATGGTTGAACGATTATAAATGATTAAAGGGTCTTAGTAGATAACATACTACTGTTTTATTTACCATATTAAATTCTGAATATAATTTAAAAAATAATTATTAATGGAACTTAAAAGTAACGATTTTTAAATATTTGTAGAAAACAATTTGAAAACTTAATAATCTTACTATGATCTGGTATTAAAAAACATCTAATAAATCGTTATTAAAGAAATTATTATTTAGTTATTTTTACCGCTACTCAGTAGTGGTAGGTAAAGGTATACCTAATTTGAACAAAATATATTTAAATATTAAATACATATTTAATTTTGATATAAATATAAAATATTAATAAAAATTTGTAGCGATTATACATTTACACGCATAATATGTAGGTATTGAAAAGTTGTAGAAAGCGTAAATAGAGTTAATAACATAATATTATAAATAGCTAATTATTCAAAATATCATAATTTGATTAATCTAAAATATTATTTTTAAATATTATATTATTTTAACTAATATTAATGGTTTTATTTCTAGTATTTGTCATTAAAAGTTCAAATAAAGGTAACATAGCAATATTTATTTTAAAATAATCTTATTCATATTTTGGAGTGCTTAAGATTATTGAGTGGCTGAGTGAAAGTTTAAAGGATTAATTTTTCAGAAAGTAAAATGAGCTTATAGTTGGTTGTTTTATTTAACTATTATAATTTATATTCGATCCATCTCTTAATTGGTTTTCAGCCTTTCAATGCATACTTTAGGATTGTATTATTAAGAACTTCTTACTTTGGCCAATTCTGAAATCCAATGCGCATGCTGCCGAGCTATCCGGAACCATACCAAGTGCACCTGTTCATCCGCCGACCATTTAATCAGAGATCCTATGGAAAATAATGGTTTTTTGAAAACGTGTTAAACACAAGTTCCGAAGAACGTGATCGGGCCCCATATGGCGGCAACGACCCTTATGAGAGGAGGGTGAGTGGCTTAGTATAAAAAAAAATAACAACAACAATACTGAAGGGGGTGAAGTTCAATTTCAGGGTCTGCGTCATGTTGTGGCGTGGAAAGTAGATAGAGGGAAGGGAAAAGTGAGAGAGAGAGAGAGATAGTTGGAGAGAGCGAAATGGAGGGAGGATTAATGTAGAGTACAGAATCCCCAGGGTATATATGAGCACACGCTCACGTGGCCTAGGGAATAAATCACAGATTAACTTGAAGGTTCGCATTCAAATTTATGTCGATGGATTGTAGTGGTGTAAGAGAAATATGGCAAAAAAAAAAAAAATAAATAAAATTTTTTCACAAGCATTGCATATATGTATGTATAAATGTATATTATATTCTATTGAAAATCTGTTTTGAGAAAAAAGTTTTTTCAGTACGTAAGGAGAGGGTAAAGCTTGATGCCGATTATGTACAAGTTAGTGAAGTTTTAGTTGGACGTTAAAAATATGTTAGTATGAATATCATAAACTGTATTATTGGCAGTTTCTTTTTAAACAATGACAGCCTTCCTTAATGATAATGATTATTTTTCAAACTCGACTTAACATACTTAGACTATTGGCACTCGTCAAAATTGACAAGTTTTAATCGTTGTTTCGCTTGCGGATGATTCGTACGTAATTAGTAGATTATTCGTCAAACTGTACCATAAAAAAAAAAAAAAAAAAAACGTATGGCATACAGAATCAGAAAAATTGCCGATTCTAGTACTTATTAAGGTAAAAAAAAACTACTAAGCGTCAAAAAAAAAAAAAAAATAAATAATAACAAATGTTTTCGGTTGTATGTTTACGAATATGTCTCATTTTTTATTGATATGTGTTATAATTTTTTAACCATTGTTGCAAATCGATTAGTTTTTGTCATACATTGTTTGATATTAAATTGCGATGTATTATAACCGAATTAAAATATTTTGTTGTTGACAGCAATATTAGTTATTAAATTATAACACATAATACAAAAACGAGTTATACGTAAGAGTTTCGGAAAACTTATATACCAAAACATTTGATAGTATCACATCAATATGTCATAATATTAGTGGACACAAATGTTAAGTGTGAAGAACAATAAATCGAAAAAGAAGATAAATGATTATTTTATATTCATGGGTTGATGATAATAAATAAACAGTGGTGATTTTATAAAATTCGTAAAAAATAAATAATTCATAATATGTGTTATAAATTTTAAAGTTCAATTTAAACTTAAAAAATGAAAGGAATTTAATTATATATGATTTTTGTAAATAATTGGATTATAATATTATAATAGAATCTATCTCTAGTAGTTTTAATATCTAAATTAATACTTAATAAGTTAAATAAAATAATATTTACGAACGTCTGCTTTTCTACAAGTTTATTGCAGTTAGTTTTTAGTGTAGGATTTCATTAGTTTTAGTAGTTTTACTTAATATATACGAGTATATATTACGTTTCGGCTTCTCCAACCATTAGCTATAAATTATTTTGTGTATGTCTGTATATATTATATATATATGGTTGTATACATTAATATTTTATTTAAAAAAATATCGTATTACAATAGTAAGTAGTTACTATATTAAGATAATAAAACTTACAATGAGTGAGTTTAAAAAAAAAAATGACTGGTCATTTAAAAGTTTGATATATAAAAAAAGGAATAATAGTGACATTTTTATAACTGACCGTAATTAAATGCAGCTATTGAATTAAAAATACTGTTTGTTTTCTCTTTTTAGTTGAACTTAAAAAAGAGGGTGGAATTTTGGAACATTAATTTCACTGTTGGGCACTTGTCTTGCTTATCTCGCTTCAGCCGCGTGGAAATTGCATTAAGGATAGGTCACTTGGTTGGTGTGTTGTCTTTTTAAATCTGAAAACGATTAATCATCGAATTCTAAAAACAATTCTAGACGGAGCTTTTTGTGTTGTATAGGTTACAACCAAGAATTGTATGGTTTTTATTTTATCGCAAAGTAATGAGAAATTTTAAATTTCGACATACTACCTAATGTACAATCTTCGTTCAATTTCCGGTCGGTTGAATATAGGTTCTATCGGACAATTTTAAATTTAGTCTACTATCTACAATACAAAAAAATAATAATAATAATAATAAACATATCAAAGATAAACCAATAGCTTTTTTGATATGCTCTGTATTTAAATACAAATACGCAACTGCTTTGTACATATCTTTTAATCAACGTTTTTTTTTTACAATGTTAAAAGTAAAATAAATGTTTTATATTAGAATAGATTTTAACCAAGCATAGGTCAAAGAACTATGTAGAAAATAATGTAAGATATATATTTTTTTATAAAACCTACTACCTACTGTTGACGTGTGTTTGACGTTCAATATAACTTTTGATTTTCATCGCATTTAACACATATTACCCAACATTTTTTCAGTCAAATTTTCGTAGTGTAAAACTTTTATATCACGTGACCATATAGGATCTACATAATATGGGATGTATACACATTTTTTTATTAAAACATTTTGTTTCTAAATTTCTCTCGGACGTCAAAACCATAACCTAAAATAACAGTATCCTAAAAATGTTTGGTTGTTTTGAAATATATGGTTCGAGACATTTATGTAAAAAATATTAAACTTTATTATTTTCAAAAAAAAATTACATAAGGGGGTATAAGTATAAATATTAAACGACTGGTTTATTAATATAACATTTCACTGGGTATTAATAATTTACATTAATTTTAGAAATAATATAAAAATGAAGGTACTATATAGAATTGCTTCGTATCATTAGGCAATCCTACTTAAGAATATACGATAAGTTTAAAAAATATTTATGTTTCAAACTTTAAGAATACTTAAGATATCTAAATTAAAAAAGTATATGTTTAATATAATAGATACATAGACTTCGGTTTTAAAAAATGGTATAAAATAAAAGCTAATTGAATCATAAATAACCGTTATACCTACTTGTGGACTGAGCTCTTGAAACGTTTCTCAATCCCAATTAATTCATCAGAAGTCAAAACCTTCAATTACTGTAGCCACGCTGTTGGCATTTTTCATTACTCTACTCTGATTATTATTCAGTTCACTTATTATGGGTCTCGGTAGTAAATGGTAATAAACTCGTGTGAAAATTGTGTACAAGCTTGTGTGCATGAGTGTGAATAAAAAAGGTTCTGGTTGTGATCACCGTATGGAATGCGAAATTCAACTACTCGTAAAACAATAATTTTAAGATTCGTAAGTATGCCAATACTAGAATGGACGCAGTATTGTAAATGCTAATTCTACACATTCAAATTACACCAAAAATAAAATATTTTAATGAGATGAGAGACGGAAATTTACATAATTTTATCAAAATATCCGACAGGTTATTCAGTATAATGTATACTATTCGGAGTGAGCGGCATTGAGCGCAGAGAGATTACTCATCCGGACGTAACCACTTTAGGGCGGGAATGCATTTGAGAGGGTTGCGGCGTTTAATCAAATTTTCACTGAATAACGATATCTCCTCATTTTTGCAACACTAAAAATTATAGAATAAATAGTATAGTTGTAATATAATATAGTATATATCTATAGTTTTATACTCCAAAACTTAATATAATATAATTATGTGCTTGGTAGCCAACATGTTGTATAATTATTACTCAGCATAATTATTGTGGTATAAATTCGATGTATCGTGTGTTAATGTTTGCTATAATAGTCACGTCATTTTTGTTAGAATATGTTTACAACATTTTATTGGTTAAAAATTTTTATCATTTGTATTTTTAGCAATTAAACTTATAATATAAATTTTAACTACGAAATGAACAAAACAAAATAATCATGATAAAAGTTTTTAAACAATCGACTATTGTCATACACTAAAAATAATAATAACGATATGAAGTTTTAAGTTGTGACGAGAGGCAGACCAATGTAAAGTATTGAAAATCGATTCTTAAGTAGTAATAATTTATTTGTAAAATAAATAAAAGACTTTCGAACTTGAAAAATAACCTTAGGAATAGTAGTTTTCTATTGTCAGCTAAACTACAGTAAGTAGTTCAAGAAAATTGTTTTAGTTTGTTCTCATTTCGAAGATAAAATTACGATTTAAAAATGTGATTTCAATGCTCGAAAACGGGAAAAAATCCTAACTTATGACTTTTTATGGCAAAAGAGTATATAGGTATATAAATTCGTATATATTATATACCAGTTTGAGCGGCAAGAAAATAGTCGAGAAAAGTCGTCTGTATTAACTATTAATGCTCCTTGCAGAACGGAAAAACAGCTACGAAGTCTACGCACCTTTCATGTGTATAACTTATATTTGTAATCGCATTACTATATTACAAACGTATAATATTAAATACATTTCATACATTTATTCCATGTTTACTTATAAGATTTCGAGCGAGATTGGCATAGTAATAATAACCGTATGATATAGGTGTACATTATTAGAGTAAAAGAGGCTTTTCTCGTCAGATCGTACTGTATAATAACCACTTCAGTATGATTCTACAGCTGTGTATTAAATATTTGTAGTTACGCGAAAACCGTGGCAGCGTTAATGACGGCGTTATTGTGGATCGGATACGGTTCAAGCGCGACGCTGCCGCGGGCGACTTATTCGTGAAATGTCTCATCGTCAAGCTCGCTCGGTGATGGGTATAGTGAGGACGGGTTAGCCATGGGCGTTAACAGAAAGGCGCGCATAATCTTGGCCGCGGTTAATAGATTGACAGTGTTTGTTGTCACTAATACGTATTATGTATATGTATTAACTGAGTGATCTATATATACCACCATGAATATTACTCTAATTTTCAGAGTAAATTGTTTTGTTTTTCTGAGGTTTAAAGTATTTATAAGTTAAAACCCAATA